AATCATCTCAGAAACATAATACCTAATCTATATAGCACCAATTCTCCAAAGAGCTCAAAGATTGCTAATTAGACAAAGCAGACAAATTCTGCAGAGGCCACACTTGATTGGTTAAGACTTCGCAACAAAAGATTATTTAGCTTACCTTCTTTTTGGAGATGGAGATCTGGACTTTGATCGGCTGTCAAAACACGAGAAACTCTATTAAGAAAAAGTACTAACCAATCCCTACCTTTTTAACCACAATACCACAAAACAAACCCCCACACTGTCCTGAGCTTAAAAAATGTCAGACTATAATTTTTTTTTTAAATTAAAGTGAACTGCTGTATTGTCACAATTCATCTTTTCCACATACTATCTTAAAAAACACTTATTTCAGGATGCTTCTCCAATGCCCCTAACAGTTCTAGCAAAGGCCTCTCAACCCCAACAAATCACAAATTTCTAGCACTTCACATTCCCTCCTCTAAGAAGCCTGCAATAGGCCATGTATAAATGAAGTTCTCATTTGGCTTAAAAAGGTTTTGTATTTCCACTTAGGAGTTGACATTCAAATTTTTCAACAATGAAAAACACTTTGAACTCTTTGGATATTGGTGCCATATAACTGGAAGAGCATTTGATCACACTTGTACCTTACCTGCTTCTTGGTCGTGAAAGAGACCTAGATCTAGATCTTGATCTTGACCGGGATCTTTAATAAAAGAAAAATGAAAATACATTAGTCCATAGGCATTCCTTTTTTGAGCACTGAATTAGATAGGTTAAGAACAAAGGACCTAAAACTGATCAAAATGCAAAATCTTGCCTTGTGTCAATCTAAAGTTGGACAAACAAATAAGGCTTTTTTCTTAAATCATAAGCAAGTTACACCAACTACACTGGGCTGATATATGCATCTCAAATATCTTGAGATCCTGCAATAAATTAGATAAACTATCTAGAGATTAGTCCAGTTTTTTCAAATAGACCTCAGGATTTGTAATTTCTACTTTTAAAGGGTTTGTTCTATTCAACAGCAACTGAGTGGCATTCTGAACAACTGCTTCATCATCTATAGTGTTAACATTTTCTAGAGTTGTATAAGTTCATCTTTTAAGACTTGCTTACTAAGGAAATATATGGTTCCCAACTCGATTTTTCACTTCTCTTAAATGTGTTAAAACTGTCAGCTTCAGATTTGTCATCCTACAGCCTTAGATTCATAAGTCACTGGAATTACAGGAATGCCTAGTCCACTATGGCCTCTTAACAAGCCTTAAAATCTTTACTTGTAAAACTAATGTTCACGTTAGAAATCATAAAAATTCAACTTTTAAATCTCAAACATTCTGAAGCAATTCATTTGAATTTTGTCCTTAAGACACTCCACCACTGTGCTGTTGTGGTCAAGATGTGACAATCCAACTACAAATAAGGAGGAAAAAAGTGTTACATACTGGAAATACCTCGATCCTTTTATAGAACCAGACCTAGATCTTCTGAGTGAAGCTGATCTTGATCTACGAAGAGATACAGATCTTGATCGTCGAGGAGATGCTGATCTTGACCTAAAAATTAAAAGAAACTAAAGTCCATCTCAAAAAAAGCCTCCGCCCCCCCCCAAGACAAATTACTGAAGATTTCTCACCTCCGTCCCCTGCTCCTGCTACGTGAGCGAGAGTACCTCCTTCCTCTGGATCGAGAATGTGATCTAGATCGTGACCTATTTTTCAAGTTAGAAAAATACAAAATATTAGACGATAACTCGTTTTTAGCGTTTTTGTGCCTCTGCTGAAATCAAATCTCAAAACTATTTAAATTTAGTGTCTCATTTGGAAATAAACTCTGGGCCTAGTTGTTGGTTTTTTTTTTTTTTTTACTACCTAAAAAAAGATTGTTAAAAGCTGAATTACAACTTAGAATTACATAATATAAAACACTGTAATGTGTATTTAAAATAAACCTTGCAAGTTTGCAGGTCGACCCTCTTTGGCCCATGGTCTAGTAGGTCTAGTAGATCTAGACGATCTAGAAGTATCTATAGCCGATCGCTGCATCTAGATGTTTTCTTCAATCTAACGACGATCAAACTGACAGCCAAAAGAGCCAGGTGAGGCTTGATTGACGCAAGAAGATTTTTCTAGTTGGGAATGTGGTCAATCTGGTGTTCCTCTTTCTAAAGCGGAGGGGGGCCCCAATTGTAAGCCAAATTTACTGTTACGGCGATCACCGTCTCAAATTTTCTGCCCTTTAAAGAATAAGGTGAAGCTAGGTGTAGATGACTCGAGGGGATCTGGCCTCTTATGCTGATCACCTCAAGGTCTAGGAGGATCTTAATTGTCGGATTTGCAAGGCGCCTCAGCATGATATCATAAGGCTCGTGACATTCTGAATCAAGGCGACTGACTCAAACGAAGAAACCTGAAAGGTTTTGACCAGGTTGATTATTAATATATTAACATTTTTAATTAAACAAAAATTGTAAAATACACCTGTACAATTTACATTCAAGTTTATAGAAAAACACTAGTTTCTGCCTTGCTAATAAAAGAATTACTTTGATTAATTAACTAGAATACCAACCATTCCTTTATTAACTAAATACCTGCTTCTTCTTCGACGGCTATAGCGATGACAATCATAAGCATAATGTCCCTTTTCGCCACACTCATAGCATCTATCATTGGGATCAAAGGGACGTCTGGCAGGTGGTCTATCAAAACGAGATCTCCGGGGCATGCCTGTTGATAGTTCAACCCTCACTCGGGAACCACAAATCACTCTGTTAAAAGTAACAAAATTCTAAAGTTAAAAAAAGGTGACACCCCCCCCCAAATACTAGGGATTTAACCCAGGAGCCCACATAACCTAGGCAAGCACTCTACCACCCAGTTACATCCCAAACCTTTTAATTTTTTTGAATAATCAAGTCTCACTAAAATTGCCAAGGCCAATTTGGAACTGGGGATCCTCCTGTCTCAGCCTTTCAAGTAGATGGGATTACAAATTAACCCCCAATTTATAACTCTCTTTAACCACTCCTTCCCCTCACAGGCTTTGGCTCTTTACTAAGTTCTTCAACTCCACCCTTGCTACCCTCTTTACCCCCATTAAGTCTGAAGTTCTCAATTCTACAAACATTATTCAAATATTATTTCAAAATTACCATAAATGGTGTATTTGTTGCTTGTTTTTATAATAGATGTTCCACATTTGTGATGATAGGGCAAAACAGATTTAATCCTCATTGTCTTGAATAAATATCAAGATCAGGTATTTAAGGTAGGTCTCCAGACTGTAGAACACAAAACTTAGCACACCAGATCTCTAACCTACAAAACATTTTAATAAGTGTTTCATAATGAACATCTCACTTACTTCCCATCCAGTCCTCGCACAGCATCTTCTGCATCTCTAGGATCTTCAAATTCCACAAAGGCAAATCCTGGGGGATTTCTTGCAATCCATACTGTTCTTAAGGGACCATAATAACTGAAAGCCCTTTCTAACTCTCCTTTGCCAGCACCAGTTCCCAGGTTACCAACGTATACCTTGGTTTCTGTTTAAAAAAAAAAAAAGCAACATAATAACGTACATTAGCAAAGTTTGGCTCAATGTGACTGAATTCTCTGCCTAAACAGGACATCCTTAAGACACTGTTTTGAGACAGACTCTGGCTACTTTGCCTAGTCAGGTCTCCAACTCCCGGGCTCAAGCAAGCAATCTTCCCGCCTCATTCCTTCCCAGGTAGCCAAGACTAGACACCACTGCACCCGACTTGTACAAAACATATCTAATGCTTTCTCTAGGGTCGAATTTAGTCTTAAAATCACTGAAGTCCATAAACACCCAAGAAGCTAGACTTTATAACAAAGTTTTCAGTATTATAATAAGGAGAAAAATCTCCAAAACAGCAAAGATGCGAAGTAAGATACCCTGATTGGGGCGGGCCCGGCCCCGAGTCCCGGCAGCCGCGGGAGCGTTAGGAGCGCGCGGGCCCGAGGCAGCGGCGTCGGGCGGGCCTCGGCCGGACCGCCAGAGTAGGGCTGCGCCCGCTCCCGTCCTCACAACAACCGGCCTAGGCGCTGGCTTGCCAAAGTCTCCAACTCCCTGCCCCAGTGTCATAAACAGCTCTCCAAAAAGCTGCGCCCCCCCCCCCAAAAAAAGCCCATCGTTGGTTGCAATTACCATCCCTCAACTCAACAATTGTTTGACAAGAATCCGCAGCTTGTAGCTGCCAGTTCCATTCAGTCCCAAATCCATCCCTCACTTTACCACAGCAACCAGATCTGTCCGCTCGAGTGGCGGGAAAGCGCTAAGGAAATGCGCCACCACGGTCGTCAATGTGCGCAAAATGGCAGCCGCCGCCGAGGGGGGGAGGGGGCGGACGGGCAGCTCCAAGAAGGGCAAAGGGAAAATCGTGACCCAGGACCCGACTTCAGGCCCGCGTGGGCGACAAAAATGCCCAAGAACTGGGGACCGGGCTCAGACACCCACCCTCTTATTTCCCATTTCCATTCAACACCCCGCCCCCGCTGCCTCCAGCTTCGTTTGGCGTGCGCCGAAGCCGCCATTACGCACGCGGAATAACCGTCTCCCAACCGCCGCGCCAACCCCACGGCCTCATAATATTCACTATATGCACAGAACTCTTCTTTACTAGGCCCTAAGTTCTTACCTCCTCCATACCGCCCGTAGCGCGACATGTTAACCGGCCCGCGTGCTCTGCTCTTTAGCTCGCAGCGCCCGGGGCTCGAGTAGTACGGAAGCTACCACACACACACACACACACTCGCCAACGGTCCCGGGGGCACTACGAAGAAGAGCCCGGCTTCGCGCTTATATATGCGGCGGCTGGGAGTTTTGCGCATGCGTCATCTCAACGTTCTGCGCGGCACAAAGGAGCTGGGCGGAAACATCCGAGAAGCGGCGCGGAGGGAACTGAAGAGGCCAAGGCGCTGGTCACGGGCGGAGGGATACGTTTCCATGGGAACATCACGATCCCGCCTGTAAACCTGTAGTCTTCCCCGCGGCTTGCCGCTCCATCCCCTCCCTTCCCCTCCCCCTTTCTCTGAACCCCCGGGCTCTTCCTTCCCTTCCCCCTACCCTTTACCCCCTACCCCTTTTCATTTTTCAGTCTAGGAATCCTCAGCGATAGTAATCTTTAGCACAGGTGCTTTAGACCCGCCTATAGGCTGTACACTTTAACCGCTGAGGTTGCAGTTATCGCCGCCTTTCTTTTGGGGGGCCTGACCTAGTCTGCTACTCAGAGATCTTTGGGGCTCATCAGAGGTAATCGAGAGTGTGCCCAGGGTGAGAACTCCACGAACCCCGCCATTCTTCGTAATGGTCTTTGCACCATAGGCCTCAAAAGGGGTGATGCCCCCCAGAGACTTTGGGTGATAATTCCCCTGCTCTACACCGACCCTCCACCCCCTTTAGAACAAGTCACCAATTTAATCTTCCACGTGGTTGGTCGGAGTTTTTGGATTCTGTGGGACAAAGAATAGAATTGTGGGAGTTCTTCCTAGTTATGTTGAAATTGTGATAAAATCCTAAATCCTTAAAGCATTTTGGCTAGTGGCCATTAGGAAATTATTTGCATCTGAAGTACAGATTTATTTGTTCTTTCTTTCTAGTGCTTTCTGCTTTGTATTGTAGTAACACATCTCATCCACTAATACTCGGATCCTGGGGCTTGGGAGGTTTAGTTTAGGTCATCAGTGAGTATCTCACCTCAGCAGGGATAGCAACTTTGCTTGATACACTACCACTCAACATCCATCAAATAAATGAACACCTTTTCATTACATTAAAAATTGCTTAAAATCCAGTTTTGATTTTATGCAATGAATTTGCCAGACACCAACTCCAAAAATACAGAGTTAAGTTACTTTTGTCACCCCTGCCCCCAACCATAGATGTTAAATCTGGAATGCATGAGAGTTGGAAATGTTACACATAAAAGAGGAAATATTTAGGTATTTGTAGTTTTATCTTTTTCATCTGTTGTAACTTCACTTGGTGTGTGTAGGTGTGTGATGCAGAGTACAAGGAAAGGAGGCCTACTTGGTGAATAAAGTATGGATTCTCTCCAGGTAATGCTATAAATTTATATGTATATAGTTCTTCAAATTTATCAAATTATGAAAATAATTAGTCTCAAGAACATATGTGGCAAGAAAATGAAAGCTCCATAGAGGGTGTAATATTTGTTCTCCCCAAATCTTATTGATTTTTGTTTTTATCTACTTAATAGGGTTCTGAAAAGCATTAAATAATTCTTATCAAGATTTTTATATACTTTATGAAAGACAATATCAATTCTGTAATGCTTCACTAATTTCACTTTCTTCTATTAAAAATTTAATGATTTATAACCTGGAACATGGCACACACCTGTAATTCTAGCGGCTGGGAGGCTGAGTCAGAAGGATCTCAAGTTCAAAGCCAGCCTCAGCAATTTAGCAAGGCCCTAAGCAACTGAGTGAGACCTTGTCTCTAAATAAAATACAAAATGGGGCTGGGGATGTTGCTCAGTTGTTGAGTACCCCTGAGTAGTTTAATCCACAGTACAAAAAAAAAAAAAAAAGAATTTAATGAATTTGTGAAAACTACCATTGGACTAGCATAGATAATTTACTGAAAGATAGTTCCTGTTATATACCACATAGCTCATAAAAGGCCTCAATGAATATTTTTTTTTGTTCTAAACACAAAGTCTATTATACCAAAGAGAATTTATAAACAAATAATAATAGTGCAAACAGAAGCAGTTTTCCAACTTATAAAAAACTGCTTTCAAATATGTTAAAGGAAAAGGGGGAACCTGAGGATATAGCTTAGTGATAGAGCCTTGCCTAGCCTGCCCTGGGTTGGATCTTCAGCACCACCAAAAAGAAAAGAAAAGAGATAAACTCCTGACTCTTCTAATATGCCTCTCTTCAGACAGGTATTTGATAGGCTTATTACTAACTATGATTTATCCCTGTTACAGCAGAACCAATTCTTGATCAGGCTTTGCTAAGTCAAGACAAAATAATCATATTGTATACTGTTTCCATACACATACACTACTATACTAAATATTATTTCTGCAAGAACACACAATCAGTTCTTTTCACTAAATGTAGGTGCAAATCAGGGAGATTTTATTGTGCAGAGTACTTTTATTACTGCTGATTCTCTCTCAAATTATTTTTACCATGTCATTTTCTACCTCTAGAATTCCATGTCAAGATCATGTTTCCAGACTCATTTTAAATGTCAGAATTACTTAATTCACTTCAACAAATAACCTAATATTTTCTGATATGAAATATTGAGCAATTCTTAACATGTTCCCGTTGTTAAATCTTAGCATATGATCAGTTTAGGAAGTGAGAGTAATTTATAATCTTTTTACATCAATTTTTAAAAGTCTGCTGTTCCTACCTTCGATATTTCCAGTCTAGCATTAAAGAAAAGTTCACTTTTTAATCTTACTTCCTTCACCATTTTAGTTTCACTTTTAAGCTATTGTCACCATTTTGGCTTGGATGTGAAAACCTTAAAACAAGAGGAAAGAAAATTTAAATCTTTTACACAAGTATCTATTGTAAGAACAGTCTTTTAATATGTATTTATGTATGTGCTATATTTTTGTATGCACTGTAGGTCAATCCAAACAACCATATTCAACTACAGCTTTCTTTTCTTTCAAAATTTTATGATCTACTAATCCCTCCAGAATGCTATTAGGAAATTCTGGGAAGAAAACATTCATAGAAGCTTGTTCATAATTCTTTCATACTACATAAAAAATTAACTTCTCATTAGTCGAGTACTAACTTATAATCAGTACTACCATATGAATGGTGGGGAGAGCAATAAAGTCCTTTGACTAACTTGGAAGATTGAAACTGAGAGAGGAGAAATGTGATGTAGGAGTGCCCCACTGTAAAAAAAAAAAAAAAAAAAAGAAAGAAAAAAGACTTAAATAAATGGTTTATGGGTTTAAAACAATCTAAGGAATTGTGACTTTCTGAGAAATGCCTGATTGTATTAAAAAGTGTAAAACCATGAAATCTTTAAAGACTTAAGTTAATCAATGGTATTGTTCCCTCTGTAAACAAAAGAAAATTAATGAAAGGAACTTGGTATCTTCACTAGAGAGCTAGCTTGATTTATTCAGCACTATCTTGGAAGGAGGGAATCTTGTAGGAGGGAATCCAATCACTAAAATAATGTATTTTATTTATTTATTTATGATTTTTGGTACTGAGGATTGAACCCAGGGACACTTTACCACTGAGCTACATCCCAGTACTTTTATTTTTTATTTTGAGACAGAATCTCACTATATTGCTGAGGGTCTCTTCAAGTTGAAAGCAAAGTGAGGAATCAGGAGACGGGCAAACGAGAAAATAAAAGTTGGTAACCAGGCAAAGATACACACAAGAGTTTATTTGTCAGAGCTGACAAATAGAGGCACATCTCTCCATAAATGGAGAGAGGCAAAACAGGCTTGGGGATCTTTTATGGGGCAGGCTCAGGGATTAGAGCCCGGTCGTTCCTAATTCAGGCATAGAATTGCTTGGGGTGTTATTAACCATGCAGATTTCAAAGTCTACTCCAAGAGTAGGCTGCTATTAACCTGAGGGGCCAAATTTTGCAGAAATAAATTTATTTCCTTAAATATGGGATTCACTTAAGGAACCTACCTTATTAACCAGCACTTGGCTGTACTTAGAGTGACACTATTTAAGACCATTGTCTTTTCTTTGATTTTATTTGGGGGTAGAGGGGTGTTGGACCCAGGAATGAACTACATCCCCAGCCTGTTCTGTAATTTTTTTTTTTTTTTGGTACTAGGGATTTAACCCAGGGACATTTTACCCATGAGTCACATCCTCAGATCATTTTATTTTTTATTTTGAGACAAAGTCCCACTAAATTGCTTAGGGCCTCACTAAAATTGCTGAGGCTGGCCTTGAATTTGGAATCCTCCTGCCTCAGCTTCCCAAGTCACTATGTTTACAGTGACTATGTCACCATGTGCCCAGCTTATTTAATTTCTAGTCTGTGGAAATGATTCTCTTCTATAAATTAATAAGAACATTTTAGTGGGGGCTGGGGTTGTTGCTCAGTGGTAGAGTGCTTGCCTAGCATGTGTGAGGCACTAGGTTTGATCCTCAGCACCATATAAAAATAAATAAATAAAATAAAGGTATTATATTCATCTACAACCAAAAAATATTAAAAGGAAAGAAACCATACTCTAAAAAAACATTTTAGGTAATAAATCCTTTTCTAAGGTGAGAGAGTAATATAATGATTAAGAGCATAAACTCACCTGAGTGAGGCAGTACACGCCTATAATCCCAGCAACTTGAAATGTAGAGGCAGGAGAATTACAAGTTCAAAGCCAGTTTTAGCAATTTAGCAAGACCCTACCTCAAAATAAAAATAATAAAAAGATCTGTGGATGTGGCTCTGTGGTTAAGCACCCCAGGGTTCAATCCCTCGTACAAAAAAGAAAATAGCATAAAAGTTCTGGAATATGACAGAGTTGGGTTTGAAGTTTGGCCCCTCAGGTTAATAGCAGCCTACTTTTGACCTTTAACCAAATTATTTAACATCTCTTTAGCTTTCTCGCCTATAAAATGGTGTTCAGTAGGAGTACCTATCTCAGAATGTTGTTAGGATCAGATGAGGTAAATAACATTGCACAGTATCTAGCAGATCCTGAATATTTAATAAATGTTTTCTGTTAGAAGTAATAGTTTGACTAGCTTGTGTCAGTTGCTAAAAATTTGATATGGTGTGAGTTTATTGACAAAATAGAAATTTTATTTCTGCAAACCTGAGGACAAGACACTAGAACATGGTGACCATCCTCGAATGGCCAGCTAACTTTCTATGAGACATCTTTGCCTTTATTCATTGACTTCAATAATAATTAAATTGGCACTTTTCTTATGTGACCCAATCCACAGAGAGAAAAAATATTGACACATTTAAAAAGCAACATTTCAGTTAAGAAATCTTCAAGTAAATTAGATTCCTAAGAATCCCAAATTCAAATTCTGAAAACTTCTTAAGGGTTCTATCCAAAGACAATTGCCTGTTTAATGAGAAGATGTGTTCATGAACAATGGAGACGGGATAGGAAGGGCCAGGGATATAGCTCAGTGGCAGAGCACTTGCCAAGTTTGATCCCAGCAGAACACAGAGAAAAAAGAGATAAGACAGAAAAATATTTACTTTTTTATTATAACAATTATTATTTGGTCTTTTAAGCTAATGTATAAAAATTAGGCATACCTTAGAGAGGGAAAAAAAAAGGCAAATAAAACGTCTATTCCAGCCAGGTGTCATAGTATGTACTTGTAGCCCCAGCTACTTGAAAAGCTGTGGCAGGAGGATCATGGGTTCCTAGCCAGTCTGGGAGCATAGTGAGGCCCTGTCTCATAAAAACAAAAACAAAACAAAATATATTCCAAAGCTATTGACAATATATTACAATTCCTATATAGATAATTAAACTACTTTTGAAAAAAATGGCTTGAAATTCAGAGGCAAGAGAAATTTTATGAGCTCACTAGTCTAATCATCTTGTTTCTCTAATGGAATTAAGATTAAGAACAGCAATATGATGAGTGCAATGGTTTCCAAATCCTGCTATAAGGACCATCAGTTTGGACTTTGACAAAGTTTCTCCAATCTCAGAATTATTGCCAACCTCTCTTCTTTTGGGATGAACTATCCTTTATTTTGCAAATATTATATATATCTCCTAGATTTTATTATATATAATAATAATAATAATAAAAAGGTCTGGGGATGTGGCTCTATATATACATATATGTATATATGTGTGTGTGTGTGTGTCTATAT